TATGATGAGTTAATCAATAAGATGTCAATAAGTCACCAGTGATTCATAATTGAACCTATATCAAAGATTAATTACGGAGGGGAACGAAAATTTTAATTGGTGATAACATACAACTCTCTTGTAAAAATAGTGATAAGACGACGTCATAATGTAAGTTAGATTATAGTGTTGATCATGTGTGAATTCTATGAGGGTGTCATCTTCTTTCAGAAAAAACCCTCCTTTAATTATAAAATAAAAAAAACAATTGACGGTTGTCTAGTATTGGAGCTCCATATTATTATTAAAATTCAACATTTATCTGTAACTCATTAGCAAAAGAAACACAACTGCACGACATCGTAATAATTCCAAGATAATGATGTCGCTGAAAGGACAAAGCTAGAAAAACGCAGCGAGTTTCTCTCAGTAGCTCTAGCACGAGAAACTTTCGACGTCGAATCGTTTGCGTATTCGGATCGCCATCAAAAGATTTATTAGGCTGAGTTGCACCACCTTATTTTAACCGTAACAATAACAATAATCGGTGCTTTTTGTATGGAATTTGAGAAATTTTTGACGTTTGTCAAAGTTAAAATAAGATGGCAATTCAGCCTTAGTATAAAAACGTAAACAGCGCCCATCGTGTGAACGTGACGTAAAGTGAACTTAGTACGAGAATTGGTAGCACGAAACTAATTTTGACAAGCGAGATCGTCATGTTATCGTTGAATTCGAAGGCTGGGTATTTTAAATCAAATACGCAAACGATTCGAAGGCGAAAGTTTTTCATGCTAAAAGTAAGTAGGTACAGAACTCGCGGTGTAATAAATAATTGTGCGCAAGTTGATACAAATACTCCGTCCGCAATAATTTTAAACAGGTAAAGTTCATTTGTACGAGTTGGGAGTTATCTGAAAGTTCGCATTGCGAAAGCTTATTTATGTTTCCCTGAGTAACACAAGTAATCTAAATTAAATGCTTCTACACAACAATATTTTGGAACAAATACAAGACTGCCACTTCAAAACTTGAAGGGTTCGAAGTACTTAAATTTCTAGATACTTTTATCAGCCATTTTAATGACAAATTCGTACTTTATCGAATATATTAATGTGCAAATTGGATTCTAATTGTGAGTTAAATGTAAATCCATCCACAGCGAGTCACTAATCACAGTAATTCAATAGCATAAACTAGCGTGACATTGGCGCGGCCTGATTATACACAGATTATGTTTGTTAAAACATGCTATTGTATGAGGACAGCACAAGAGGCTTTAATTTTTAGTTGCAAAATCGCCTTTATTTCAACTTTTATACGGTGCCACATCATATCTTGATATCGTCCTTTATATTGAGTTACACAAATTGATCAAATTCACCAGGAAGTACGAATTTTGAGTCATTAATCATTTTTAAAGGCACGTATTTACCTACGGATTAGGTACTAATACTAATTGGTAGATGATTAGCTGGATATTATAGAATCACCACTATAAATCAGCTAGATCGATATTATATAAAAAGTATTTGATGAAAATTCTAGTCCACAATTATTTATTTGTTCTCTTTATCTTTACCGTTGAAAAGTTTACGCGAATGATCGAAGCAATGAAATAGAATTTTATAAAAATTGAACAACCAAATACGAATACCGATCGTAAAATAAGGATTGATGTTTCCCATTTGCATTTCATCTAGACGCCTGAAAGAATACCGCCACGTAGGTGTTTAAATCATATTACTCATTCACGCTTACAGCTCTGAAGGTGGCTAAATCCCGATTTTTCGTGCAAAACAAGAACGGTGTCGTACGTTCGGTGGCTCGCGCGAAATATTACATTATGCAGATGAGGAATATATTAAAAGCACACGGCACGTTATACGTGAATATTTAAAACGCGAACAAATTGTGCCGGTCGAAGCACGCGCGAATGCCTGAATAAAATTCACCCGCACGCGCCATAACGGGAGATCATAATTTTTGAAAAGGTCTTTCGGTTTGTATTACGTGTCATGTGTACAGATAGCTTTTTAGCGCCGCTCGTTGATTTTCGATTCGGTGTAATCCTCGATGCGCGATCGTCGCTTTCAATAAATGGCAATAACAATCGGAGTTATACTTAGGCTGAGTTGCACCAACTTACTTTAACCGTAACTATAACAATAACCGGTGTTTTTGTATGGAGTTTGACAGATTTTTGACGTTTAAGGCGATAGGTGAGGCAAAACTGCAAAATAGACCTCTCTTTGAATCCCTACTCCTCCTAAATGGATGATCCAAACAAGAAAAAAAAATATGTGTGAGATGTATAATATCTTGAACTAAAAAATTGTTGTTCGTTTTTTTTTTGATACAACTATTAGTTTTGACAGAAAAAAATCTTAACTTTCTTCTAATTTCAACAATAAAATTTCCTACTACTCCTAAACGTCTGAAGCGATTTTAATGATTCTTTCACTAAATGATAGAAAATTTTATGGTCTAAAAAATTGTTGTTAATTTTTTTTCAAAAATAATGTATTACGTGTCATACATTCAAAATACCCTGTAATTTCCACACGCGGGCCGCGCGAATGCGGGAGCTCAGTCTTTCACTAGCGTTCGCACGGGGAGGCTGTGTCGCATGTCGGCACGCTCCGCTCCTTTGTTTTTCTATAAAGAATTTATAGCGCAGATCGTACACTCGGTACTTATAGTAGTTCGGCCGCTGAATAAGTGATCTGAGTACTTATGTCATTTTAAATAAGTAAAGGCTTTATTTAAATTTTAAGATAATTTAAATACATAGGTACACAAGATGCTGATTATCTATTTTTTCTAGATTTATTTGTCTGATTATTTATCTATTTATTCTAGACAACAATACATAATATATTTTTCTTATGTATTAGTAGGTAATAATAATAAAACAATGCACTTATATATAGGAAATCACAAGACAACAAAAAATACCTACAAAGGATTATTTAAATTTTGTAATTAGCAGAAACGTATTTTATTAATTTCTTGGAAACAGTCACATCACTTTTGTGCATTTTTCGTTTCGACTGGTAATTTACAAGGTACCTCGTTGGTCCATTGGTTTTGGTTGGTATGAATTTTTTTTATCTCATTGGTCCCCACAAAAAATCGGAATTATTCCTAGGGAATTTCCAATTCATCCAGCTTAATCGTCTCGTCGCAATAAGGTTAGGTAAATTGATACCACCTATTTCGATCCCTGATAATAATATTATAAAAAAAATATTATTGAATAAACAAAAAACCCGACTGCGTAAAAATGAACTGAAAAGATAAAAACAAGCCTTAGTGTTCACAAATGCAGTCGGAGGCATCAATGACTAATTATTTTGTTGGTGATAGGTATTTGATGCCTCCGATTTTACTGACATTTATGATTTTTTTTCCGAAATTTGACCTAAAACTACTTTGTTTTTTCTCGCGTGTTTTCAACCGATATTTTTATTTGGTATGAATATCCAAATGTCTTTAGTCTAATAAAAACATTTTATATCCAGATAATGATTGGATAGCTAATTCCGAGCCGCCAAAGTGTAACAAAAGTACAAAACACGATAAAAATCCTAACTAAGAAATTGGTTGAAAAATGAAATGTGTTAGTGGATTGTTTTTAAGATAATTTAAAAACATCTCTAGCTTCTAATTATCTCTTCTTTCCAATGATAATAACTATATCACTTGTAGTAATTAGATATTGGATTTTGCCTAAAATTTAAAGTTTAATGAAGAAAATGGGAAAATAATACAAAAATTATAAAAATACTTCCTTAATGCTTTCCATAGTTTTTTTATATGATTTATTTCAAAATCAAATCAAAAATAATAACCGCATAGAAAAGAAATACTTTTTTTGTATGCGGCTTGATTTTTCGGCTGCCTATGATGCAGCCGTAATCACAAGCAGACTGGCAGCTGACGGAATCGTCGGTTCGGGTGGGCTTAAATATTTTAAACTACCCTCATATTGTCATAATGTTACACTGTAGTGGCGGTACCTCGACACACAGTATTCGTATCCGTACTTGACATGTAACTCATATAAAAATGTCGCGTTGAGATCCGTGTTTATCTATTTTAGTTGAAATGGAACCCGAAAATTTAAAATCTTGTATTTCATCATAATAGCCGAACATCGATGTTACTAAAAACAATAACAGAGAAAGTATAGTCTAAAATTGTGTACAATGATCAAAAATATTTTATTCAATGTTGATCAATATTTTACCAATATTTTGAATACCTGCACAGACAGACATTCACATTTAGGTAGGTACTCGGACACACACTTAAAAAACTGTTTATAAGCTTACTTAGACACACGAATATCGTCAGCCTAATTTTCAAACTGCTTTATGTCCTTTTGTGCAAACTTTACAAGAGGAAATAAAAGTTTATTTTTCATAGTTATGGTACTAATAATTGAAGTATAATGATGTACTAATTGAAATATAATCATTATATTTCGATCTGCGTAAATTAAAATCGAGTCAACATTCCCGTAGGCAGTTATGTTAGAATTGGCAGCGCTTCGCATCTGTATTCTGAGCGCTCTTTGATATCGGGCAGAAGCGCGGGCGCGCGGCGGGAGGCGCGTTGTCTCGCTCTAATGCTCAAGGTCGTTCGGCCATGTAATCGCCTTAAAGTGAAAGTAAGATGGTGCGACTCAGCCTTATTATTTATGTAACTTTTTTTAGTTTCTATGTTATTTAAAAGAACTAATTTACACGCAGATAAAGCAGGCAATTAATTTATTGGAGTTTTTTGATTGTTCCGAAGTTTTTATATTAATAACTTCCATTCTCGTGCTTATTATTTTAGTCGAATCTCGTTTTAGTACGTAAAGTGTTATTCACAAAATCCTCTATTTGTCACATAACTTTTTTGCCAAATAATTCTAAAGCACCGACCTCACTTAACACTTTCTGCCGATTAAAACAGAATGATAATATCAAACCGTATGTGTTAATTTCAATGTATGAACTTTATTACATTAGACCGATGAAGACCGATCCGATCAGACTGGAGCAGCGGCAGGGCAAAGCCCACCGAAAGATTCGCCAGACCGCCTCTAAAATCTAACTGACATTATTGCCAGTCTACTTTTTCGCCAAAATTGCTACTGGCTCTCGGCCAATGGGAGAAAATTCTTTGCTATCCTTTCGATGCTTTCAAGACTTTGAATATTGACATTGGCAACAAAATGTACACTAAATAAGCAAGTTTGGGGCTCTCCAGGCTGATTTTCTGTTATTGAGCAAACACAACATGCTAAGAGAACATCCCCGCATATTTTGTGCAAATATGAAAACGCTCGTGCATATTGATTTAGGTATCGTCATGCAGTGTTTACATCCAATAACATGTTACATTAAGGCTGAGTTGCACCACGTAACTTTGACCGTAACTATAACGATAGCCGGTGTTTTTTGTATGGAGTGTGACAGATTTTTGACGTTTGTCAAAGTAAAGTAAAATACTGCAACCCAGCCTTCGGATATATTTAACCACTGGCTGATAAAATTCCTGATACACTTCATCTTTTATTTAACATGATTTATTTTTTATCATTACGTGTCAGAAAAAAAATCCAAAAACCACTGAAACAGCCCAAAAGTTCAGATGGAATATTTCTAGTAAATTAACTATAACTTTTTGATTCCCAATTTCCATTGGGTATTCAAATTATTAATTTATAACTAAGACCACCACATCAAAATCAAAAACCGTTAACAGCAAACTGCAAAATGGCCTTCTAGAAACAAGATTCTACTGTCGAATCAGCAGATTGTATAGCCTGTACAAATAGCAGAATATACACTCAACATCAAATAAATCGCACCTTCCGCGACGCGAACTTTAAAGAGTTTCTTTTGACACAATCATGGTGCCCCAACAATGGTGTTATTTGAAAGCCCAATAAATAGATTTAAAGAAACACCCATTTGTTTTTTTTATAAACAATTAACAGGTACCATAAATGTGACTTGAATAAAGGCCTCACTTGAGGTTCACCTATGGGACCATGTAAACCAATTTTTGTGGTTATAAAACCAAATAATGATCTTACATGTCCTTTTTTACAGATGGATAGCAATTAATCCCAATTTAACAGTTTCATAGCCATAAAGGTTGGCTCAAGCGTAACTACCTATTTTTTGAGGAAGTGACTCTGGATCCTTCTAAAGACACATTTTTGGGACAAAAACCTTTCCTTTAATGAAATGAAGTTTAGAACTAGGCTTTCAAATGGTACCAATGTTGGTGGGAAGTAGGGATGCATACGTTTGATAAGTGCAAGTCGCGGGAGGTGTGATTTATTTGATGCCGAGTGTAGTTCAGAAATCCCGTATACATTGCAGCAGCTTGTATCATTTACCCCGGGCCATGAATCAAGTGCACAATCTCAGTTCTTATCTGTACTCGATGTGTGAGTATCGCCGTATCGACCGACTCGTCCATGGAACACAATTTGTTCTTTAAACTGTTTAAAGATTGTAAGAGAACAATGGTTTTAAAAATAAAACCGCAAGCAATTCAATTTACTTTCTTGAAAACAGTTGCTAACTTAAATATGATTTTATAGCAGAATCACGTGGAGAGATAAAACAAAATCATTATTTTGATAATAACTTCCCATATAACTACAAAACATCACAGACAAAAAATTTTGGGTGCTACTCCAAAAATAAAACAATATATCTATAGACTGGTCTGTGAGCACGTAGAATTTTGTCCAATGACCCCAAGCTACTCATCCTTATCGCTCGCCCGTAATTATGTTGCTATCGGGCTCGCACACTCACTACGGGTGCCAGTCGCACAGTCGCGACAGCAATATAATTACGTGCGAGCGATAAAGATGGGTAGCTAGGGGTCATTGGACAAAATTCTACGTGCTCACAGACCGGGCTTTAGATAACTTTGATGCTACGATATAACTACGAAGCGTCATACACTGCTACGGTATTATTCCTGCTTTGCTACGAGTCAACACGAAGATCGAATAATGTAAAGTGCTCCCGAACATCGTAGTACTGTTGTTGCTACGACGCTGCTACGGCGTAGTAAGCTACGAAACAGTGTAACGTTTACACATTGCAATAGTCCCTGTTATCTACGGGCCAATACAACTAAACTGACTTTCATGCTTATAAATAATCCTATACGGCTGCTACCTACTTAGGCTTGGTTGCACCATCTTTATTTATTTATTTTATAGAAACCAACAGCGATGCATTGAAAATGTTAGTTATAAGATTTAGACTGATAGTGTAGCCAATGAAAGTATTCCCTTTTTATAAAAGTACATTGTTGTTGGGAAAAAATATGAATAAAAGATGTTAAAAAAATAATTATTAAAAACAACAAAAACTCACAAAGAAGCAATTCATTGCGTCAATAATAGTCAGAATAAAGCACTTCAAAAGTGTTAATTGATAATATAATTAGACTTGACCATCTTACTAAAGAAATCAATAGTTTCCGAGTGCCTTAATCTTACTTTAACTTTAACAAAAGTCAAACTCCATACTAAAAGCACCGGTTATCGTCATACATAGTTACAATCAAGCTGTCTATATTTAGCTGGCCCACACTCAGCATACATGCTACGGTATTAATACCCACTTAGCCACTAGCCAATACGAAGATCGAATAATGTCAAGTGCTCCCGAATATCGTAGTACTGTTGTGGCTACGAAACTGCTACGGCGTAGCATGCTACGAAATAGTTCTCAATGAGTTTGAAGACAATCTGTTATAAGTTATACCACAACTGTACTAATATTATAAATTAGAAAGTAACGTTATCTGTCTATCTTATACCTTGCCATGATTAAACCCCTGAACCGATTTCGATGAAATTTGGAATAGGAATAGTTTAAGACCCAGGACAAAACTGTTTTTGAAAGAGAAACGAGGTTTTTCGTAACCGACCGAAGTACATGCGGACAAAACCGCGATCAAAAGTTAGTAGGATGGAGCGCGAAAAGAAGCCTTAGCCTTTAAAACTTACGATATGCACCCGCAAATTACACTTTCTATATTTTTTTCTCGAAAAATACAACGATTACGACAAAGTTATATTGTTACATTGTTCTATAGAGCTTATAAAAAATTTTTGGCAACACTTTGCAATTTCACCCTGTATAATATCACAAAACTACGAGTCCGTGTAGCAAAATTGATTTACGGTCGGTTTTCAAGATTATAACGGTTGTTACCTACTTAGAAACTCAAACATTGGCCAAGTAAAGTCTATATTTAGCTGGCCTACTCCCAGCATGTTTGCTTCAACCTGTACGTGTAAATTTATAAACACCCGATCCGTATCCGATTTTATTTTCGTACTATCTGTGCCCGCGACTTCGTACGAGTGAAAATAGTTTGAATAATATTTCCCGTTTTTGCAACATTTTTCTTTACTGCTCCACTCCTATTAATAAAGGTGATGTTATATTATTGCCTAAAACCTTCCTTGTTAAATGGGCTATTCAACACAAAAATATTTTTTAAATCGCTGCAGTAGTTCCTGAGATTAGCGCGTTCAAACAAACTTTTCAGCTTTATAATATTACTGTAGGAATTGAAACCCAGGTTGTATTTCTTCAGCTGTATTTGTATTTACTCCAGGATAAACCACAAAAAATAGGAACGTCTTAGAACCGTCTTAATACTATTCGTCTTCTGTACAGTCTTCTGTTTAAATCCCGTCGTTCTTACTTCCTCACTCATTCATTCCGTCTCACTCACTCCCTTGCGTTCCGTTTCACACTCCCACACTCGGCCATCCTGCGTACAGTCCGCCCTCGGACTGTTTCATTTCAAAATTTTACATTAAAGCGTCTTATAACTAATCTTGTTTAATACAATTCTTATAATCATCTTTCTCGTATGTTCTAGCTTTCTTTCTTTTCTTGTTATAAACTCTAACACTTCCATCTTGAATTGTCTCCACACATTCTCTTGCCTTTTCTCTTAACTCTGGTCTTGTCTCGTTCATTCTTTCTACGTTTTCCTCTTCTATCATCTTAACAAGTTCATCATCTCCTTTATTAATCCGGTTAAACAGTCCTTCTTTCCCTCCCTCGTGATTCTCTCTTATAATTTCGTTCTGCGTCTTCTCCGGTACTACAAATAATAATTCATCTTCATCTCTTTCTTGGTACAACATGTCATTCTGGTAGGATTCTTTCAGCATCTGAATATGTTCGTCTTCATCTTGTGCTTTCTTCAGTCGTGCAGTCGTCTCGGTAAGTACTAAACAGCTTAGGACGTCGGCTTGTTTCATACGTGATACAGGTCGGTGTTCAATCTGACAGTCGTTACTTTTCTTTATTTCATCTGTAGGCTTGCAGTCTTGCAGTCATGCAGTCAGTAATATTTTCTCAATTTCAGTCATATGTCTAGAGTCGTCTATGTCGTGTACTACAACTTGATCATCTTTTTCCAACGGGACAACTTCGGTCCGTCCGAGTCCACTCAACGTCAAACATCTTCCGTCGTCGTATTTTGGGGAGCCGATAGTTTTGTACACGTCTTCCGTCATAAGGTTCACCTCGCTGCCCATATCAATAAGACTCGCCATAGTTATTGCGTTGTTGTCAACAAATTGAACTTCTTTTAGCGGCCTCGATGTTTTCACACTTTTGTTGTTTACGTCCGATACCATCAAGTTGGCAGAAATGTCATCTGTCAGTTCTGCGTTTCGTTCTACGTTCGGTTTCGATCTCCAGTCAGTTGTTGATTGCGTCGTGTTGGCAACACTGTATCGTTCGGGTGTTTTCGTGAACATCGCTCGTTTCGGACTGGCATGACGTTGCTGACGATTGTCTGACTGCCATTTTGAATTTTCACTGGTCACTTGTTGATGATTTGCAGGTTTTGAACATTCACTAGATCTGTGTCCAAACTCATTACACCGGAAACATTTAACCCCTCTTTCCTTGTGAAAACATTGAGCCGAAATATGGTTGCTTCCTCCACAGTTAAAACATCTTGGTCTTGTCGTCTTATTGTAATTTACCGGTGCCGTCGTGCTGCTACTGGAGGGTCTACGTCGTTCATCCACCAT